CCGTTCCGAGGATTAGGTTTGGGTTAGATGTGCCGGATCGGCGCGAAATGGATTACAGTAATCTTTTTCTCTGTCGACCCCTGTCCCCGATCGAGGGAATCGATGTCTTTTACAAAAAAGGATCGATGGCGGGTGATGAGATCGGCGGAATTTGAGGGGACTCGCAAGGGTGGACCTTTGAGGGGACTCGCAAGGGTGGACCTTCGAGGTGAAACCACGCCCTTCGGAGAGGAGCAGTCGCATTCCTAGCCTTTCATGGCCCCAGAGGATGAATCGCCCGAAGAGATTTAACCCGAGTTTATAGCGGTTCGCCCCGTTCAAGATGTCTCGCACGATCGGCGGATGGAACGGAGGAAAAAGGAGGAGATGAAGGCTTTCCTACGACACCGTCATCGCCACTCCCGAGGCGGTTGGGACTCGGGATGCGACCGGTCCCGCCTTCACGGGGGAACTGCGGAGCTCTGCGGTCGCCGGCTTCCACGTGATAGCGCTCGTCCCACCGTGCGAGAGCGGGCCCGGGTCTTCGATCGACTCTCGGTGCATTTCATACGTGGCCTGCAGGGGGGAAGGTGGCCTGCAGGGGGGAAGGTGGCCTGCGAAATACGATTACGAGTCGGAACGTTTCATCGGCCAGAAAAATCTACCGCTCCTCCTTGGGAGTAATTGGCCAATCCCGTAATTCCCTCGTTTCGCCGAGAGGCGATTCGTACTTCGTGATCCTGCCAATCGCTGCATCGTCTTCAGTTTTGAATTTGCAAAACACGAGAAAGAGCAAAATCGATGCGACCCGTTTCAGGGCATCCATTACAATTTTAATTTAATCAATTAAATTCCCTGTCTTTTTTCCCCCCACACGATTTTGAACCGTTTGAAGGCCGTAGAGACCCAGATTCGAAAGTCAAGATGGAAAACCACACTCCCTGGTTTTTCTTCGGTTTTTCTCTTTCCTTCGGGATTACGGTAAGAGCAATGGGGACTAAAAAGGTGGACATGTGATGAACGTCAGATCCCGAACATGAAAAACCCGAATGCTAAATTTCAGTAAATTTCGTCATTTGGCTGTCATTTTTGACCCAACCGTCGAGCTTTTTTCGTATATGCATATTATCTATATGGGCTTATACCGCTAGACGTGAAGACTCTAGAAGACTAGGGGAAAAAGGGGCCCCTAGTCTGTAAGACTAGGGGAAAAGGGTTGCTGTGGAACACCTTGTGCAAAATAATGGGAAGAACCGCGTTTCCAAGGCCGGCTTGTGACGGGCTGGAATTCTCGTCGCCGCGAAGAAGAAGCAGGAAAACGATGGAAATGCGAGGCGCGGAGGGAACCGAGGCTATTTTTAACGCGGTTCGTGAGAACGCGGGCAGTTGTTGCGGGGGTTATATAAAGCGCGGTCCGTCCACGTCAGTTCGTTCCGTCGAGTCCGTTTTTCTCCTCGTTCTGATTTGATTTCCGAAGAGATTTCGACGGCGATGGGGATCTTCCGCTTCCGGCTCGTCTGCCTGCTGCTCGTCGGGGTCGTCCACGGCTCGGTCTCGTTTCTGGGTCCGTGACGTCACGGTCGACAGACATCGTCTCGTGCTCGTCTTAGACATCGTCTCGTGCTCGTCTTAGACATCGTCTCGTGCTCGTCTTAATTGAATCGGTCGATCGGTCGATTTAGGACGTAGGCAGGGGGATTCGTGCGCCGGGAGATGCGACACGGTCGGGGATGATCCGGACTGGCCTTGTCAGTGCAATCAGCCTTGCGTCGACTTTGGGGACTGCTGCGAGGATTACGAAGAAGTTTGCCTGAGCTGCTCGGATCGATGTGGCATCGACTACAATAGTCTTTTCCCTTGTCAGTGCAACGACGAATGCCCGACGCACGGCAACTGCTGCGATGACTTCGACCTGCATTGCGAGGGGTCGACGGGTACGAGAAATTCCTCATCCCGCATTAATTGAGGATCATCCATTATTATCCATTATTATTCATTATTATTCTCCGGCGAATGAATTCTCCGTGAAGGGACGATAACGGACGAAGACTTACGGGCTTTGTCGGAGGCCCTGCTGGAAATGGATATCAACAACGTGGGGGGACTCGTCACGGTGGACCTTCAAGGTCAAACTTCATCCGGAGGAGGAGATGAAGCGCCTGACCCGTGAGTACCAAATGCCAATACCAAATAAGTACCTTCGCGGAAAAAGGAATTCCAGAGAGTAACCGTGTTTTCAGTCTCTTCGTCGGTGAATTGTCGGATGAGGTCTTGTCCGTCGAGACCATAGCTTTGCTCGTGGCCCTGTTTGACAATTACGAGCCTTTCACGACCGACCAGGAAGATGTGACACCCGAAGAGGAGGAGGAGGTTGATGCCTTCCTCGACGCCGTCATCGCCACTGATGTCATGCAATCTGCATACCAATTCTTGTTGGAAAAGGGTGAGCTTTCCCTCTACCGATTCCTATATAGTAGGTAATATGATACGAACTGAAAGATAATCCCGCACAGATGCGATCCAGGACGACGAAGCCGCCTTCAAGGTAAGGCTGACGGAGATGTGGTTCGACATGTACCCGAGAGACGGCTCCAGTCCGGGTTCAAGCGGTTTCGAGCACGTCTTCATGGGGGAACTACGGAGCTCTGGAGTCACCGGCTTCCACGGATGGCTCTATTTCTACATGCAAGAGCAGGAGGAACGCATGGACTATTACGGATATATGACCTACAGGGACCTCGGCGACAAGGTAATTTCACGTTCGTCCTCTCGATCCTTCAATTTCGTCTCCTCCTCAACGTCTTCACGATACTTCCAGGGCATCATACTGGAAAATTCCTTCGTATGGGACGGGAAACGTAAACCCATCAGCAGCATCTACATCGGCGCCAGTCCCGAACTCGAAATGGCTCTCCTCACGGTCTGCTACATCGCGAGACCCGATTCCCTCTGCCCCATCGACCTGGCCGGGGAGTCACTGCACGTCCAGACGTACGTGGAGCCGTACGATGGGGCAAACCACGTCGGAACTGCATATTTTGATATATCCAGTTAATCGTCATGATAAGTGCAGCAATTAAAGTCTGATGTTCAGCTAACAATTGCTCCTCCTTAACGGTTGTCCAAGCAAATGCCGGAACGTTAAATGTCATTCCTAATGAATTTCATTCATTACAGGATACAGAACCTTTTGTCTCCCTCGCAGCAACAGGACTAATTAAATGCGAAGCAATATGGAAATCATTTCTGAAGAAGCTTTTCGATCCTAATTAGAAAGATAGATTGAAGAGAAGACTACGGAAGTTTCACGAAGAAGCCGCAGTCCAAATGAACTGTAGTTCATCTCACCTTCAGGGCCGGTTGTGATCTCTGCGATATTGCGATAGAGGTTGTAAATGTGGAATTGAATACCTTATCTATCTCTATAAGCAAGTATCTCTGTCTGTCTCTGTCCATCTGACATAGCGTCATTCGGACACCGTTGGAGATATCGACCTGAAACCTTCGC